CCCGCTGCAACGCGAGCGGCTGAGTCCGCTATGAGCGAATGTGCGGAAAAGGTTAGAACAATTTATGATGACTTGTGCTTCGGCCACTGGGGCAATATTGCCGTTAGCTACGACGGCACGTGGAAGACGCGAGGCCATTCTTCCCACATCGGCGTGGGCACAGTTATCGAATTATTTAGTGGCTACGTGTTGGACTACGTCGTTCTTTCCAACTTTTGCCTAGGCTGCGAGGTGGGCCCAAAGCCTAGTAGTGAGGGCTATCAAGAATGGAAGGCTAACCACAAATGCCAAAAAAATACGAACAGCAAAGCGGGGCAAATGGAAGTGGAGGCGGCTCTAATTCTATTTCAGAGGTCGCTTGAACGCCATGGCCTGCGCTACACAACTATGCTGTCTGATGGAGACTCTAGGACATTTTGCGCCATACAAGACGCCAAGGTGTATGGTTACATTGACGTGCAGAAGGAAGACTGTATTAATCATGTACAGAAACGGATGGGCACCGCATTGAGAAACCTGGTGCAGAAACAAAAGTGCGATGGGAAAAGAGGCCTTGGTGGGAAAGGCAGGCTCACAGGTGAGCTGATCACCAGGCTGAGCACATATTATGGCCGGGCTCTGAAATCGCATGAAGGTGACGTGGGCGAGATGCAAAAGGCTGTGATGGCCACATACCGCCACGTCACCTCCACTGATGAATGCTCGGACCACAGTCTGTGCCCAGCTGGTGAAACTTCATGGTGTCGGCACAATGCCGCAAAAGCAAAGGGTGAGCCCGACCCCAGGCATGCCTACAATCTACCGAAAGACGTGGCAGAGGCATTACTACCGGTTTATACCCGGCTTTCGGAAAGAGCCCTGCTTCAGAGGTGCGAACGCGGCAAAACGCAGAACTCCAACGAGAGCCTACATTCGGTAATCTGGAGTTTGGCCCCCAAGGAGCACCATGCGTCCCTGTTCGCTGTTGAAGCAGCTGTTGCAGAAGCAGTGCTGCGCTTCAACACGGGCAATTTAAATTCTGCAACGGCAATCTTAGGTGAAATGGACATGAATGCGACAAGTACTGGTGCCAGGAGAGCGAGAGAAAAAGACCACCGTCGCAGCATTGTCTCCAACAAGAAAAGAACAGCCTCATTGGAACTCCGGAAGCTAGTGAAGAGGAGGCATGAGCACAGAATGCATTCAGACTATGCTTCTGGTGCGTTTTGAGGTTGTCTTGTTGCATCTTCTGCAATAAAAATGTGTGCCCACGTTTTTTCTCGATTTCTCAAAACGACAATTTTCATGTGCTTCCCATTATGCCGGAGCAATATCTCTTGTTCTATCTGGGTTATCATTACGATTTCTGTTTTGTTTCGAAGATAAATGCAGGGGATGTGTCGTAAAGTAAGTTTTATTGTAATAATTTTTGGAGAAAATTCTCTAAATGGATCTTTTGTTTCAAGTGTAGATGGGGAAATTTTTCATGTCATATTCAACATCCCACAACTTTGCTTCGAAATAGCCCAGAACAATGATTTATACTTTACTGCACATTGTGAACATACCGAATTGGTTCTATAGGTTGCACATCAATATCCAAGTTACAGTTAATTAGCTAATTAGGCCTTAATTGAAAAAGTCGCAGTTCATTATATCTCTAAAACTAATTGTCACAGCAAAAAAGAGAATTAGATTTTTGAAATCAGCAGTAAAATCTACATAGGCTCTCCAAATTTGACTGAGGTACTCGCAAAAATAAAAGAGTTTTTGGAAGGTGTAGCATCCCCCCTTAAGGTGGTTATGCCCAAAAGTCTGAGAGCCGCACTGTTGCGATCCTCTCACGACGAACCCAAGGCCAGTCACCTGAGTGGCTCGAAAGTTTTTGCAAAACTGAGCCGCGTTGTGACCTGGCTCGGCATGAAGCGAGACATTTTTGGCTATTGCCGTTCTTGCCGCGTCTGTCAAACGGTGAAATCAAGGGCTGGCAAACCGCCTGGTCTGATGAAACCGATTGTCAGTGAGCGTCCGTCGTGGCAAGTGGCCACCTGCGATCTAATGGGACCATTTCCCAGAAGTAAGCAGGGGTTCATTCACCTGATGGTAGTCGTTGATCACTTTTCAAAGTGGGTGGAACTTTTCCCACTTCGGAAGGTGACAGCGCGAGCGGTGCTTGAGAAGCTGCAGGAAGTGTTTTGCCAGTTGGGCTTCACGGAAAGGCTCATCACTGACAATGCTTCGTATTTCACCGCTCGGGTGTTTGGTGTCACGTGCCGTTCCCTCGGAATTGATCACTGCACCACTTCACCCTACTATCCCCACTCCAATTTGACAGGGCGCGTCAATCGTACGCTCAAACCGATGTTGGCGGCCTTTGCCGAAAGTCAAAGGGACTGGGCAGACCATTTGAGTGAGCTCGCATTCGCTATTCGAACATCCGAGAATCATTCAACTGGTTTCTCGCCCGCCTTCTTAAATTTTGGAAGGGAGTTGGCAAATCCGGTGACCAGCGTCACTCAATGCCAGCCCAAGGGCGAGGAGGCGCCGGCAGACTGCTCTGTTTACGCGTCGACACTTCGGGACAGGCTTTGTCGAGCTTTCTGCAAAGCAAGGCAAAGTTTGGCGTAGGCCAGGGCTCAGCAGAAGGCCCAATATGACCGCAAGCATCGCGACCTAGGTTTTGAGATGGGCAATCTTGTCCTGAAGCGCAACCACGCTCTTAGCGATGCCAGTAAGGGGTTCTCAACCTCGCTCGCTCCTAAGTGGCTTGGTCCGTACCGAGTGGAGAAAGCTTGCACTGCACTCGCGTACTGGCTGAAAGATCCCCATACGGGAAAACTCAGCCGTGCCCATATCGCAGACCTGAAACCCTTTGTATCACGGTCTGACGAGCTCGCGCCAGAGCCCTGCAACACTTCGCGCAAGCGACGGGGCGCACACGGAGCGGCGGACCGCATTCGGACCCCGCACCGGTATAATCTGAGGAAGCGGTCACCTTTGTGATTTCATGCCACGGCGGACTTCTCCACAACCGAAGGTCCTCGGTTTACTGTCTAGCCTCAGTAAAGGTTAGCTTCTTTACGGCCTTTTCTCGTAAAGAAGTCTACCCCGCCCAGTCTGCTGTCAGTGTTTTTTTAAGTGTTATGTGTATTTTATGTTTCTTTTGCCTAATATTAAGTGTTATTTGTATTTTATGCTTTTATCTTCCTTTGGCCAGATACTGAATGTCATTTTGCTCAGTTTTTACTTTTTTTTCTTTGTTTATTTCGTCTACCGCGAAGGGAGCTGTGTGTGACCTTGAGTGTCGGTGCTTATGCTGGGAAAGACAAAGGACGCTTTGCGTCTACGCTCGCGCAGCTGTCGGCGGTGTGTGTGCGTGCGTGCTTCTGTGCATGTGTAAGTGAGTGGCGCTTCAGTGCGTGCCCATGAAGAGTGCGTCATGGCTTCCCCCCATCGACGCGGACACTTAAGGTGCTCGGGGCACTGACCTACAGACGCTGTGCTCTGCTCTCGGCCAACGACAAAGAAGCCCTGCTGCCTTTCCCACCATGGCTCCTGCAAAAGGCCAGTTGAAAGCAGCTATAATATGCTGCCGGCCAACGCCAGGGCGCCTCGCAGCCAATTCTGCTTTGGCCTCCCTGAACACTGAGAGGCCCGGCTTCCCGCAACGTCCCAGCTCCGCCATCGAGCCAGAAATGCGGGGCCTCCGTATAACAACAGAAGCGGCGTTCGTCGGACTAGCGGCTAATCAAGAGCAGCAACGAGCCATCAGTGAGCCCCCTTTCGTGCCTCTGACCTCGCACTCGGGCATTACACCTAGTGAACATTGTCATGCTCTTCCGCCCCTCCGCCCGGTGGACGCTATCCCGCTTCAACACCACGAACACTACTACTACTTTCCTGTGCGCCCTTCCGCAATTATTTTTATAGTGTCACGTGTTTATTTTGTTATTAATGTTCTTGTCTCTCCTTTGTCATCATTTTTTTTGCAGCAGTTACAGGGCTGGACTGATGTTTGCTGTCGCTCATAGCAGTGTCATTTTAACTGCATGGGTGACGTCCGGCTGCCTTTCGCAGACCGGTAAAGGGCAAATTTAGGAAAGGGGGATGTGGGAATTGAGGCTAGCCCGCTGCCTTTGCGCGTGCTTTGCCGCCTTTTCTGCCGTTCTCATGTCCCGACATGTCTCCCCTCCTCTGTTGTCTGCCGCGCTGGGAGAGCGGAGTGACGTTTAACCCCCTCACCCGGTAGCGGATGTTGACTGTGGCGCCGCGCGCGAAGTCTCCCGAAAGGTTTTTACGCGCTGCGTCGGGAGCGGGCAGATAGATACTCTCCGGGACTGTAGATGGTGAGCCACGCAATATTTTCCATCCGGCGACTCCGTCGCTCGGGGCTCGCCGGACTTCGCTAACGGCGCCTCGCGCCCGAGGCGAAACGCTCACCTTTTGTTGCCCCACTGCGTACGCACGGCCGAAGGGTGGTATGGTGTCCTACTGCGTGGCCTAGCTACGCCGACCCATCTCCCTCCGAAGCCAACGCGAGCGCCTTTGCCCTCGCTCGAGCAACCGGGCCTTGGTCCCGGTGTCTCCGTAGATCACCTTTACCGCGGAGACGTGCTCGTGGCACCCTGTGTAGTACTTTTATGCCCGTGGCGTGGATAAGCCTATCTGCTTTCCCACCGCGCCTTTGCAACGGCCTTTACTGCGTTTGGTGTTGCCACAGACAATAAAGTGTTGCGACTTTGAGCAGTATCGTGTTTTTGCCACGGCAACGGTTAACGCGTGCCCTGCGGCTCGCTAAGACCGGACCCACGCTAGTGGCCGTACTCCTTCGGGACACGTGTCACTACAATACTGAACAGTAACTTCAGCCTCCTTTGTTTGGGGCCTGTCCACATCAAGCATTTTTTCCAGACAGTGGTGATTCTGTCACTTAATGTCATTTCTGTGACATATAAAGCTCAGCAACTGGACAAAAACCCGCGATTGTGTCATAATCTACGCACGACACATTTCCCACTTACCTCAGCGGCACACGACCGGCATCGAAGTTCTTCATGTAATGCGACACCTCCATGTCATCGTGCACATAGCCTTTGCCTGTGCTACCAAAAGTTTCAATGGCATACACTTCACCTTCCTGAAATGCAGAGAAAATGTTTTGACGACTGGTAATTCATTCAGCATAACGTTCAGAATGAAACAACACAACATTTAGGCCTAGTTTACACTCAAGCTCAAAGCAGGCAAAAGCAGGAACACTCACGAAAAATCGACTCGCTTCGCTACCTCAGTAGAGAGAAGACCAAAGGCGAGCCTGACCAGTCTTGGAGCATTTTTTCACCAAGCAGATAATAGAATTTGTAAAGACGTTTCTTGACTCTCGAGCCCATAAACCATGCGATTAATATCCAGTCACAAATTAAAAATTGCAGACAATGAGTCGGCAGTATTTTTCATTGATTCAGTCGCAAGCCTGTTGTGCACGACAGAACTCGCAGCCTCTACCGAGACTAGCTTTTCAAAAGTCTGATTTGGACAAAAATAGCTGAGGAGATGGGAATTAGACGAAGGTGCAGCAGCAGTGCAGTGGTGTACTCTAAAATATCTGGCTCTTGCACAGCCGGGTGAACTATTCCAGCTGCTGGGGTGTCGGCTTATGTGGCTTTTGCTACTGCATCTGCTTAAAAGAGCAACTTTAAAAATTAATTTCTGTCCCTTGAATCTGCACCCATAGGTAAGATTTGGTACAAAGTAATAAGTAAGGCTATGCTAATACTTGAATTTTAAAAATATTTTTCGAATAGCATATGCTATTTACTTTGATTTGCATTGGAATTTAAAAATTCAGGTACTATTCGAACTTCCAAAAAACAAGTACCGTATTTACTCGCATAATCCTCGCACTTTTTTTGGCGGAAAACCGATGCAAAGTTGGAGGGTGCAAGAATTACGCGGGGAAAACTTTCCAAGAAAACATACATAGCGAAAAAGAAAACGAAGAGGCCACAAATCAGGATTCCCACACCAGCAACTAACAGCAAGCTTTGAGAAGTACTAATTAAAACTTGCCTCAACATTAAAAGCACTGGTTCAACACAAACAAAGATTTATTTGAGACACAAAAAGTGCAAGCAAATAGTTGAGAATTAGAATACAAAATGCAAAGCTTGTGGGCGTAGCGGTAGCGTTCGTCACTCAACAGGAGCCCTCAAAAAGTAAGTGTAGGACGTCAGTATTGGGCTGATGGCTATTTAACAGAATCGTGCCCACTTTTTTTCTGAAGTAAAGTTTACCATCAATCCCCGTTTCAGGCACACGGCAGGCCCAACGCGTCTTGGTGGCTTTCGGCTGCCATCAACAGTTGCGAACACAAAACTCGTAGACTCTGAAAAGACTACCAGCGGCCCTGTTGCCGTTGTTTAGTGCATGATCTATCACTTTCAACTTGAAAGCAGTCGTGTAGCTTCAGTATCGCCCCATAATGTGAAAAGATTACCGAAACAACATACAAAACACGTCACAACGCACACTTGCCACTTTGGCTTGAATTGAATCTCCATGCAACAATAGTATGTTTGATGCTTAAGAGATGGCGCCAGATGGCGCGTGCTATCATCAATGGCTGGAACGAGCAGACATTATTGCGGCAGTTTTCGAGGGCACGATAATTACACGAGGAAATAAAGAAATCATATTTCGGTTGGGCGATGCAAGAATTATGCGAGTGGGAGGATTACGCGAGTAAATATGGTACAACCATGATAAATTGGTGTGCAGCAAACTTGGTCTTGCATGACGTGCTAGGCCGAAAGTTTTATTGCTGATGCGCAAGATCCTTAGCCATGGCTTCGAGGAACCAGTGGGCGACCCAATTTATTGCCTTTGACAAAACTCATTGAGAATCCTTCACTTTCCCATGTCCGCTATCGCGATGCTGTTGTCTGCAATGTTCGAATTCCTTGCGCACAAACACCATGAACAGCATCAGGCCTAGCCACGAGTCCGAGCAGTAGGTTCGGTCATGGTGTACGTGGTCGCTGTCCTCAATGTTTCAAAGTATGTCATGCACAATCACGAGTACGAATAGTTGCACTGCGATTGTCTTTGTCACAAGGTCAGATGTATTGATAAGAAGAACCTTTTACCGCTGTCCGACAAGTCAGCGAGACAAGAGTTTCAAATGTTCACAACGAGTGCATCAGCCTATCGTAATCTGATCATTGAGCGTCTGCTTGTTGCTGCCAAACTAAAACATAATTATATTCTAAATGATCGTCAAACCAATACCAGAGAACGAAAGTGAATGCGACACTAATTAGCACGATTTTAGAAAGATGTGCGCCCGCGAAGAGCAAGCAGCAGACGGCGCTCATCCGAAGTGACGATCGGACCAATGGCCAGGTGTGCTGAAGCAACATGGCAGACACAACAATCGAAGACCTCGAAACTATTGCTTTTTGTAATGCCTGCATTGCACGGGCGCACAAAAGGTCTTTTACCTAAGCAGGCTTTTACAAAGCTGAGAAGACTTTCAACAAAGAGGGGTTGCGGTGCAGACGCACGTCACCAAGGATCTCCTTTTAGTGTTTTCTTCCGAAGACATTACCGAAAGCATGGCGCGAGCAGTTAAAGAAGAAACAATGATAATAAAGCGATGCATCACGATATACCAATTTAAGACTTGCCGAGTGGCTCGTGTCTACAAATAAATTGAATAACAGATGAATAAACCCTAACGTGAAGGTTTATTGCAATAGTTAAGGAAGCGTTTATCTTTCCACAGTCTGATTAAATCAAACTTCAGGTGTCCACCTCCGACCACTGCAGACGATGCCTTTTCCATGTGGCGCTTGGCTGCTTGGTCCCCAGGGATGGCCATAGACGCTCAGACTACTGAAATGATGTGTACACACACCAATGCCAAGCACGCTTTTCCTGTTGCGAGTCCAAGCGTCACGACATGATACTCCCGATGCATTCTATAACTCTGTCTCAGAAGTTCCAATCAGCGCTGTGGAGGCTACAGAGACCCTTAGCCCAAATTACATGCGATTAGACCCTCCACATGTTTTCAACCGCGTTGCGTTGTCTGCAAAGCGTCCCCCTGGCGTCTGCACGCACACGTTCGGCGAGCAGATGGCAGTGTCGGAAAAAATGAGACATGGCTGCAGCCATCGATCCTGGTGCCCTCCACTTCGAGTCACGTTGATGCTGTGCGCTCTATGGCCTATAAGTTCCCGAGTGACCCTTATATTTGCTTTAGATTTATGTCTTGGAGCTTTGGCGGCAATTTATTCGTGACTATACTACAATACTTCTATGAATCGCTATCAAATTCTCGGTGCTTAATTAGAATGCATGGTCAAACAAACAGCTCATCTCGCCAATAACAAAAGAGCCTACCTGATATTTTGTCCTGATATTAAGTGGCACAAAGCGATAGTTAATTAGACAATTCATTTGTTTCTGTGACAGCTCTGGGAGAGCGTTAAGGGCAAGTTTAGATTGAAGTGGGCGGTCGAGTCTTCATAGACGCTGCCATGTTGGAAATCGCTGGCACCCACAGGTTTCAAGGCTACTCTTTTACTGCCATAGAAGAGTTCATCGAATGTTGTTTCCAGAAAAGACAACTTCTGAAATAGAGATCGCTATCTGGGTCGTGTGTCTGAGCGTGATACTCTTTTTCGGAGAAAGTCTTCTTGCTTAAATGACTTTTTAGTGCCCCTGTGACATGGGTATAAGCTTGTTTCAGATTGGAAGAGCCAGCAGAAGCAGAAAATTTGAAGATGGAGAAATGCTCTTTCCGACAAGCCAAGAATGGCGATATCTGACAGGGTCGTTGTGGAGCTATAATTTTTTTGGAAACTTTTCCAGCAGTTTCTGTAATTATTCTCCCCAATATTTTACCGCACTTGGTTTTCTCTGAAGGTATCTTGGGATCGATAAAAGAGCTACAAAAAAATTGGCCTTCGTGTTTTCTCATTTTTTAGGAGACAGCTAAGAAACACGACTTAGCAGCTCCTACCAGTGCTTCATCAGCCTAACAAAACGTTAATGAAACTAGGCCAAATATAATGGGGCTAAGTAATAAACCCCATTGGTACAAATAAATAAGGTCATTACAAGGAAGTTACAATAAGTATTTACAAGGAAGTTACAACAAATAAGTTACATTACAAGGCTGACTTGGCCATATTTACCAAGCTGTAATAGGCCAAATTTACCAAGCTGTAATAGCAACTTTTTACAGGGTGAAACAAATGAGATGAAATACCAAGACATTAAGAAACACAGCCATACCAACTAGGAACACTATGAAACAGCCAACTCCCACCAGAACACTGCTAAATCAAGACGCAGAGTGCGCTCACCTCCATTCTCACAGCTTCTCCTCCCTTCACAATAGGTACTGTCTTCCCAGCGTGGATCCGGTACGGACCAATTGAGTGACCATTAAGGTTGCGAATGGCCTTCACTGCAGATTAAAAAAACAAGAACACTCAGTGCTCAAACATGCAAAACATTTCACTTCTATAATGCGGCTGCACACTCTACACGAAGGAAGAGAATAACAGAGGGATACCATCTGAAGCGCTGCCTGCTACAGACATCATGATACAACGGTTGTCCGGGTACTTGGGGCTCTTCATTATTCAAAACAGATGGTCCGACTAGAGTCTGATCGTCGGTAGAAGCGCAAGATTCGTTTTCACTGGTAAACGGCTACTAGTGAAAATGTCACAATAATTGTCTAGCTTCGACATGCAGCAATTCGAGGAAACACAAGTACAAATGCTATTGCATGTCTTACTTGCTTAGAAAAAAGAACGCAAACATGTGTTTCAGGAGCAGTAGCCGGAGCACACGCTGGAAACGTCATCAGATTGAAAAAATAACAATTCACTCATCTTTCTTCCTTCAGAATTCCGAGCTCCTCTCTGTGTGCAGCAAGGGACACAGCAATACGTTGGCATTGCGATTATTGGCCAATACATGCCTCGCGTCGCTATACCTTACGAATACGTAAACACGCACGGACTGTGCGGACTGCCCCGCGCTCGAGCCTCTAACGAGGCAGTATGCACACAACGGCCAAAAGATGGCAGCAATTTTGCACAAGGTGTATACCCCTATCCCCAACCCAACCTAGGAGGAATGGGAGGCGACTCTGCTAGGATGTTCTGACCTTTGGGCCCAAAGGGCATTAGTTCGACAGGCCAAGGCAGTAGCCGGCATCAATGGGTTCCCGCACTAGGGATCCCCACCCACTAGTTGTGGGTGCCATTCTCATTCCTCACTGTCCTTCTGCCGCTGCAGAAATGTCTGAAATGTAAGCAACCTCACTCTGCAGTGAGCGTACGACGCTTGTCATCTAGGCTACCTTCGCGACGAGTAAGCTAGCAGGGAAAGCATGTGCGAGCACCTTTTTCATGCTTTAGAAAATCCGTTTTAGCTGTTTTTTAGCTTTGTATGCACCACATTTTTATCGTAACCGTGTCTGAAGTGTTCAATGTAACAGTAGGTGGTCTTGAAAAATGTTCGCTATACAGCTAAACCAGCATATAACGAAATTTATGAATACCCGAAAAATTTTTTATAAATAGGATTTCGTTATAAAGAGATAAGGCACGATGATTCGAAAAATAAATGCACAAATTAAACAGAAAAGAGCTTGTATGCAGAGTTAACCCAAAACTCTTATTTAGCAGAAAAAAAACTGTGTTACCATTGCAACTGCAATTATATGAAAACAACACTTGGCGGGTTTTGCCGTTGCTGCCATGTTCTGTAACAAGTCCAAATTGATAACATGCCCCGGCGCATCGTAACTTTCACGAGTGGGTAAAAGCGCGCAAGCGCTGCTGAAGCAGAGATCAAATGAATCGGCCCATTTCTATCGTCTGGAAGGCGCACAAGGTAACATCCCCCGCGTGTTTTAACTGCTGTCGAATGCACAAACAGAAAGGAAACCAGCGTCTTGAAAGAGCATGAAAAAACTCGGGGTGGGGAGGTTCGTTCAGCAAACAATGAACTATAAACAATGAACTATAAAGGCGGTCGCGATCGCTGGCACCCTTGCTATTTTCGCAAGTATCAGTGCGCTTTCAACACGAAGGGAGTGTGTGAAAAGAGACCACTCCCTGGAACGGCCGTCTTTGCTGACACCAGCGTTTTGTAGGAGTTCCGCGATATGAGTTTTGCTATCAGGCTCACTGCATTGCATTCAATGCATTTTCGTATTGTTGCCAGAACTAACCGGCTAATCGCAAAAGCTACGAGCCTGCGAACTGTCAGCGCGGCACAAGACGGAAGCGCGTGACGAGCCAACCTCTGAAGATCGGTCGACACCGTGGTCTCGCAGGGTTACCTGCAGCGCCTAACCTGACATCCCCTCAGTGGTGATGACACGGTTGCCCGCATAAAAAAAAATTTAGAAAAGACAAAAGCAATGCTGGACATTTTTGACGACCGCGAAATGCGTGCAAAGTGAAACCATGCACGCGCGCACGGCGTCAATAACAAAGAGTGAACAACAACGGGGACAGAGCGACAGATATAGCAGAGAACTATTCAGTAAACCGCCCTCCATATGCAGGGCGGTTCTACATATGAAATGCTAACTAAAAGCGAGGCATTGCAAACTTAGAAGCAGTTTTCTTTTTTTCTTCTTGGTTTGGAGGGAGAAGGGGCGCATGTGCACATGAGTTTGCAGGGGCAAGAATGACTGCAACACCACCTCGTGGGGCACAAGCCGCCTGCCCGTTCACCCGCACGGAATCAGGAGTGCTCGCTCTCGCCTGCTGCGCCGTGTGCACCGCCGCTGCTTCGCACTTGGTCGGCAGTGGGGCACCCGTAGAAGATGCGAAATCCAAGGCAAAATTTCTAGGTTGTCCGTGCGGAAAATTCGTTATATCAAGGTTGTCTCCCTCTGTTACTTTGTTACATAAAGGTCACTAATACATGTGCTTCTATGGAGTGATGATGGCGAATAAAAAAAACTGTTATATCGAGGAATCGCTTATATGAGGTTTATTATAAGCATGTTTACTGTATGTGGACGCAGTTTCAAAAGATAGCATATAAGAATTTTAAGTGCACCAAAATGTGGCTGTTATAACCGATAGATCATTATATCTGGGATCGCTATGAGTCGATTCGATTGTATTACTAATCCGACCACAGCCTTCATTTATGCCCATGCAAAGGCGAAAAACGGAAGAGCTGCTTTTGTTCCGACTCTTCACCAGCACTATGCTATGCCGGCAGCACTCAAATACTTCGATCCCACTTTTTCCAACAGTTGCTCACACTGTGGGGAAATGTCTTCGGACATCTACCACATCGTGTGAACCTGCCCCTACAAGCCTGCTATACCCTATATCCCCAACCCAACCCGGGAGGAGTGAGAGGCTACCCTGCCTGGCTGTTCTGACATTCGGGCCCAGAAGGTCTTGGTTCAATGAGCCCAGGTAACAGCCAACACCAATAGGGTCCCGTACTAGGGATCCCCATCTACTCGTGTGGGTGCCATCCTCTTCTGAGGCAGTCCCTGCATACCTCTTTTGTTTGTAATAACCGTTTTTTAAGATTATACTTGTAAGGTTCTTGCACTCCCTGTTACTTTTGGATGTACTCGAGCTAAGAGATATGTATGAACTGTTTTTCATGGAAAAGCTATGCTCTCACCCTGGTATGTCTTGCCATCAAGTTCCACTTCATAAGATTCCATAACCTCCTGGATAGCCTCGCCAATGTCACAAAGCCTTACATCTATCCCGGCTGTCTGCAATGCAAAAGAAAAAGTAAAGAACATTGTTTCTCGGTAGTTTGGAAGGACGCATACGCTTCTGTACTGCCAATCTTGAATAAAAGGAAGAATACAAAACTGTTGACCAAAAGTATACAGTCCGTCAGTGGTAAACCACGACTGGAATTTCACTGCTTGTTTGTGATTACAGTCAACGACCGATGATTTGCACTCTACAAAGAACGTAAATTAGTCCGTATCATCGAATGCCTGAAAAAAAAAAGAACAAATGCGTCAGGAAAAAAAAACCTTTTTGACATTTCAGCGACCTGGTGGCCGGAAAAAGCGGTCAATGCGTTGCTGCATGTACTTCTGATTACGTGCGACCAAGTCCACCTGTATTTCTGCCAGCGTGGTATGCTCGCTGCACGATGGCTGAAGAACAGCGAGGGCCCCAGACAGGTCCACATGCGTCAGCTTCAGAGCATGCAAAGCGTCGTCATCATCAGAGTCAGAATGACTGTTTGAATGTTGCAGAACCAGCTCAATTATGACGCGATTGTTCAATTCGGCCCACGACGAACAGCACTGTCAATGTCTGCAAAGTCTTCAAAGGTAACTGGGTCAGGAATCGGCATACCTCAGCCTCACAGGTCGTTAACAACGTACACACTTGAGCTCATGCTGGGCGGCGGCTCTTCAGTTGCATTGTCGGGTCATTCAGCTGCAGTGTCGGGCTCACTATGTAACGTGAATCCAGCATGCTGGAAACAATTGCTGATCGTGGCTGCCAACACTGCCTTCCCGGCATTAGCAAGCAGGGTCATGGCTGACATCAAGTCACCGATGTATTTCATCTGGCTTTCTTAAGCACAGCAACACATGCGGCAGCATGCGTGAACAATACAGCACCTTCAAATTCTTGATTTGAGTGTCACTGTTAGTGCAATTTAACGCATCTCTTTTGGGACAGCAGAGTGCAACATAAAGCAGGTCTTCACACAAAACTGAATGTGCACAGAATTAAGCAGAACGTAATATCGCAGACACATCCGACAGAATGGTGGGGATAGCAGTACAGAGCCATAACTGCGCTGGAATTCCAGAACTCGAATCTAAGATGTTCGTGACGTTGACATGACCTCCCACAGTTGAACAGTGCCGCCAAGATCAGCCTTTCCTGTTATAAAGCTTTGAGGCAATCGAAGTAAAGCCTCACAGAACAGCAATTCACTTTCGTTTTTTTATTTCTGAGGCCATACTTTGTATGCTATGGGTACCGGAGGAGATAATGGCCGGCGATTCAGCGTGCAGTCCATATTATCGTATGCAGATCTGGCAGCTGTCCAAAATATCAGTCGTCTTAACACACTACTTCTATAAGGCCATCGGTGGTGCCGCACAGCTGTCTGAATTATTGAGTAAGTTCTAATAGTCGGTGTCCTATCTATCGGTCGGCGACTGTACAAACAGAACCTGAAGGAACTAAGACATGTTCTATTTAACAGTAGTCTATTGAAGCATGAATTGGGTTGCATCATTCAAGTACGAAACCAATCATAGTAGAGGAAGTTCCATTTGAGGAATCATTTGGATTTTGGTGAAGCTTTGGCAAATCGTACGACAATGTACTTACCCTTATTCCAGTATTAGTGGCATCTCGCACCGCTTCAAGCAGTTTGTCATACTTGTTGTTAAATGTCAGCGTGAAGGCACAGTCAATAATATTGCCTGAAAAGATAGAAAAAAATTAGAAAAAAAAGATAGAAAAAACTAATACAAAGAACATGACAGTAAGGCGAGGATATGTTTATGAAAGAACACCTAAATATTTCACATAGTGAAACAATGTATTTATTAGTTATCAAGACGGAATTGAAGCTTAGAACTTAGACATCACGGAACTCAACAGAGTACAGAACTTAATGTTTGAACTCGTGCTGAAAAAAAGTTTCGAGCTTGGTGGATGCATCTAGCTTGCCAACTAAAACACTAAATGATACAAAAACTAAGCCGCTTCAAACTAACAAGAGAAAACCATGCAGCATGCCATGAATTGATCACAAACTTATGAAGGAATAACAAAAAGTACTCAACAAAATACAGAAGAAACATGGCTTCGTGGGAGTAGCCTAATCGTCCATTGAATGAAACAAATCTAAATCATTTGGTCATAACTCTGGGTAATATAAAAAAAAAAACAAAAAAAACTAACTGGCAATAAATATTTTTCCCTTGCAGTCGGAATAAATCAAGGGGTAACATTACAACACACCAATAAGTTAAATTGGGAGTCCAAGTCCCATGTTGCTATTCGGAAACGAATCGTGACTTGAAATTCATGTGAAAGGCATCGCCTTCCAAGAAGTAAATCACGCTTAAATTGCTTAAGCACCTTGAACATTACTATGCTCAGCTAAATGCAATTAACTAATGCCCCTCATCATTGTCATTGTGAAGAAATCTAGCTATTGCATTTACTAATTAATTTGTGTGTAGGCACACAAGTGTTTTTACAATTGAGCAGCATAAGAATTCAGCCATTACAATTCAGATCGAACCCGTGGCTTCAAACTTGGAAGTGCAACACTAAGCTACCAAAGCGAGCTGAAGTAACTTCCCGGCAGATTTCCCACTTCTCGTGGTACGCTCATTGAAGCAGCAGAGCAGTCATTCGAAATCCCACTCATTTACGATTCCGCAGTCGAGGTTAGGAAGTGCAAACATGTGCATGGCTATGTACAAGTTAGCAAGACAATAACCCAAGCTCGCAATACAATCGGCTGATTACAATTGTGCTGCAGCTCTGATCGCAATAACGCGACGCCACCTCTTGTTCAAAGCCTGAGGAGAGCATGTTTGAGATGCCCGCATAGCCACTCTCCTGATTTAACGGGAGGCTGAAAGAGGTAAAACATCAGCGAGTGTTCTAATGTAAACGAACAAGGCACACAGGTGCCGAAGTCTTGTCGTGCATGCTACCAAAACTGATGTATCGCCAAATCAAGCTAGCTGCAAGCACCGCCCAAGTGAAGCTCTGCCGAATCGTAGCTGCAATAAGAGGCCGAAGGTGCGAGCACCTTGGTGCGCTGAGAGCTGTAACACGGTGCTCTGAAAATACCAGCTGAATGTGTTCACAGTGCTCAATTTCCGCAAAATGGGTGTTCACGAGCGTCACCAGATCATACGGAAACAAGCCGAATGTACCGTGGAAAAGAAAGAGCAACAAGACAGAAGATGCCTTCTCAATGAGGGCCACCAACTGTGATCTGCTTGCCATTGATGTGTGTGCCAAAGTCAATCTTGCACACATCGTCGTAGCCCAGCACCGTCGGGTCGCCCGCGTTCGGAGTGTAGTGTGCGGCACAGTGATTGAGCGAGCAACCCGTGGGAAAGGCCAGCCCAGCATTCAGTCCATTCTCCTTGATGAGCGTGCGAGCTGTAGACTCTAACAATTCACTGCAGTGACAAGAAAAAAAAAACGAACAAGTTCAAGTGCAATTAAGAAGCTCAGCTCTAAAGTTATGGACCTGAAAGATATTAAGACACAATGACAAAACAAGTGGCCAACAGCCCAACCAAATTGCATTTTACATAGGACAACTTAGACGTAAAAAGCTCCTTTAAATATCACATTTTTTCAACTCATAGCCTACCTCTGCACTTATATCATGCTCCCAATTACCAGAACATTGGCAAAGAAGGTGGAAAGACCACACAACCTATGCAATCACACCACATTCAAGTTTTCATAAAAGCAACCAGGCAAAAATGACGTCAAAAAAGGAACACCAAGAGGCAGCCTCGTAGCGTAGCAAAAAAAAATTATTATTGCAATAATATTCCGCTGAACCTCATCATCATGAACTCTCAATTCAACAAAGCTCGCAATTAATGAAGTAATGGTACTTATCCTCAAAACCGAAACTTTTTACAAGTTTCACGTCCATAGAGCATCATGTTTTTTCAACGTCAATGTAACAAAATGATTTTATGATTTCAACACAATGTATATATTAAAATTTGTCGGTGTTACAAAATAAGACTTACCTAAACAATCAATCTACTGAGGCTAATGCAGAAATCCGATGGTATAATTATGTGTGGTTGTTTACTAATGCTACTTCACCTAATGGGCCATAAGGCAAGACAATCGTGTGCCAAAGGAAAACGGTGTGTTCACTTGCAGATGCGGAATACGCGGGCCAGGTTTCCAATATGAGCCACCATATCTGAGGACAGCATAAGCTGGCGAGTGCACTGCTACGGAAGTATCCAGGGGTACACGTCCATTATATTGCCCACCCAACTCAGCATTGTTCTGCATTCGGCAGGTCCCACACACTAGCACCCAATTTTGCATCTCCATTGTAACTATAAAAAAAATGACTAGTACAAGCACCTGCGGAGGCAGCAGCCCTGAGTGCAACAACGATAAAAAGGGAGTTATCACTTGTTTTGTTATACTTAGGAGCCTGCTTTTTGGCATCCAAATCTTGTAGCCAAAAGAACTTTTTTTGTTGAAAGAGCCCCAGCAAGAGCAAATAAAACAGATACATTTAACACAAATAAATGTGCTCTCTGTCAGCCTACTGCTCTTGCAACAAGGTTTAGGCTCCAGCAGCTACAGTCGAACCTCAATATATCAAACACGGATATATCGAATTATTGCCTATATCGAACGGTTCCTATATCATGCGGAAAATCGCATGCATTATTGATTTTTATTTCGAACAAAGTTTGATATATAATAGATATATCAAACTCAGCCACCCCAAACCGCCCGCGCTCCATTGACAGGCGGCGAGCTTTTCCGCAACTATCGAAAAGTAGCGGTAGAGCGGCGGGCGTTTACGAATGCTGCACACATCGATGGCGCCGAGAGCGCCACTTTAACGTAGCGGTGTACGCGCGCCGCAGCCTTGCAGTGCTTGCAGCTTGCAGTCGTTGCAGTCTCTATGGTGTCAACGGCACACTGCGCACTTGTTGCAAGCTCCTCCCCGGTAGCATCGGCAGGCATCGGTCGTTGTGCTCGCAGTGTTTGTGCGTTCGGAGTTAGGCCTGTCGCGCGCTGTGGTGTGTGTAGTGATGGCTGCAAACGCGAAGAAACGAAAGACCCTGACTTTTGCTGCAAAACTGGAAGAAATACAGCGCGTCGAGAATGGCGAGAAGAAGTCGAGCGTCGCGGATGAGTTACGCATACCATGGAGCACATTAAGTACCCTGGTCAAAAACAAAAGCGACATAAAGGCCAAGGCCAAGAAGAGCCAGCACTCGGGCGCGCAGCGTGTACGCAAAGTTGCTTTTGAAAATGTTGAGAAGTCGCTCCACAAGTGGTTCATCGATGCAAAGGCCCGAAATATTCCTGTATCAGGACCGATGTTGCAGCAGAAGGCAAAGAACTTAGCATTCATTCTCGGCGCCGAGGATTTCAGTGCTAGTAGCGGTTGGCTGCAACGTTTCAAGGCTCGCTTCAACATTATCGGGAAGACTGTGTCGGGAGAGAGTGAGGACGCCAATGACGAAGAAATTCAGAAGTGGCTTGATCACGAGTGGCCCAAAGTTCTCGCCAAGTATGAGCCGAAGCAGACCTTTAATGCTGACGAGACGGGCCTATTCTGGCATATGCTTCCGCGGCAAACGCTGGACACTCGCGGGGGCAAATGCCACGGAAGCAAGCAAGGCAAAGCCCACGTGACGGTCCTATTGGCTACCAATATGGATGGAAGCACGAAGCTGCGGCCACTTGTAATTGGCAAGTTTAAAACCCCGAGGTGCATGTGGAACTGCCCCATTATTCCGGTGAATTATGCCTGGAACAAGAAGGCGTGGATGATGAGGGACATTTTCCTCAAGTGGCTGAAGGCGTGGGATTCGGACCTGGCGCGTCAAGAACGGAAGGTATGCCTTATTGTCGATAATTGCACAGCACACCACACCGACGCCCAGCTGAGCAACATCGAAGTGGTATTCCTGACGCCTAACACTACTTCGAAGCTCCAACCGTTGGATCAGGGTATTATCCCCACATTTAAGTTTAACTACAAGCGTCGGCTGATCGACATTCTGCTCGTAAAACTCCGGATGGGCCAAGATCTGAAGATCGATCTCTTGGGAGCCATCCAAATGCTCAAAGCATTGTGGGAAAACGTCAAGCAGTCGACGATAGCCAACTGCTTTCGGCATGCGGGCTTTGGTCGCACTGACCAGGAATCAGTGGAAGAATCCGAGGAAGCTGGGTTGGCATGCGCAGATGAAGAAAGCGAGCTCGCCGAAACGTGGAGCAAGCTGGAGAGCTTTGTAGGTGCCGAGCCGCAAAGCATGTGCATCGAAGACTTCGTTGGAGGTGATGACATCACTGGTACAACGGCGGAGCTCACGGATGTGGAGATTGTCGCCGAAGCTACTTCTGAGCAGCCAAATGAAGACTCTGCCGAGGTGGATCCCGCAAGCACTGATGGTGCCCCGCTCCCGACATCAGGTGAGGTCGTAGCTGCCTTGGCCCTTGTGCGCCACCACTGCGACGCGATTGAAGGCACCGGCCTATCACTTATGGATCTCCTGGACTATATTGAGGACGTAGTCATCAAACACGCCATGGCCAACAAAAAGCAGGCTACTCTTTTTCAATATTTTTAACCAACACAATAAATACTATGTTTGAATCCAAGTGACTACTTACTGCGCCACGCTTGAACAATTCGTTGGTTCTTTTCAGCAAGCTGTTGACGCATTTTTTTCATGATTTTTTTTTATATCGAATTCTGGATATATCGAACTATTTCACGATCACCGCGCCGTTTGATATATCGAGGTTCGACTGTAATAGGGTTTTTTTCTGGAGCACTTTCAGCTGCCTGCCCAATCATTACTGAGTGCCTCTTAAGATCACGAAGTTTCTGTGACGAAACCAACAGACGAACCTTCTTTTGAAGCTATCAGTAACGATTAAATTTTTGACACCATACCAAATCTTGCTCAATTATTCTAAATTAAATGCGTGCACAACAAAAAGTGTGGCCAGCTGCCATCAATTAAGTTGTTGCCTTCCTTCAACGCAATCTTAGAGTATTACGACGTTCAGTCGGTATTGGTGCACAGTTCGTGAGCCAGCGTTTTCAGCAAATGTTTGGTGAGCGCAGCATTCGGTACCATGCTGCTATGGATGACATTGTCATTTTGGCACATCAGAACGAGGTTGATAACATCACCAACACTGATTACAGCGGGGTCTTAAAACTCAAGGGGAGCCCAAAATATTGTTTGAACCTTCAGGACCTCCTGAAAGCCGATGTTTAATTCATAATTGAGAAAACTACTGTTTTTTATCGATGCCGTGATAAGACCCCATAGAACGGACATTTCTCTTGAAATCAACACTACTTTTACCGGCTTGAATACTAAACAACATGGTCACCTTAGATTACTCAATATGGCGGTAAAATTTTCATATACATGCTGTTAAAATTTGCTTAAGATGTACTGACACAACAATATTGGCGTTTTCTTTTCTTCTGCAATATGTGGTTGAGACATATGAGTAATATCCCAGTGCATTGCTTGTGGCAGAGTACTACGGATAATTAACTACAGCCTGAGGTACATCAGCCTAAATTGATTCTTTGTGCCACTTTAGTGTCTTCTGCATAACTTTAGTGTCTTTACTACACAATTTTTCATTCTCTTACAAGACTCTCGATGTCCCCAACCTTTGAAGATTTTTTTACAAGACTGAGGTACCTATGATAGTTGGACAAAGACGTTTACACTCGTTAAAGAAAGAGCCCTCTCCAAACTTACCATATTTCAATCATGGTCATTCCAGGCTTGATAACTTTTAGCATGTACTGCCTCGTCTGAAAGCAAAGTAAGTGACAATAAGCACAAGGATGATGCAACAGGGTGTTTTCTGAATAAAAAAAGCACTTTCCATGACTAGACTGTTTATAATGCCCTCATGACATTAATAACTAAAGAATTCTTCATATCAAAATTTTCTGATGGGTGGCTTACAAGCTCACATACAGTGGAAATTTCTTTTTTAAAGAGACCCTAAAGACAAATAATAAGTTGATGATTGTTGGAATAGCGGTCAAAAAACCATGTAGTGCTAGTTTTATGCCAAGGAAATGCTTATATTGAAATAAAATCAGGTTTTAATGGTACACATTACATTAGCGCACTTAAAATCACCCGCACGTGTAAGCAGGCTCTTAGACATCACTGTTTACGTGCCTAATGTTGCCCGCCTTTACTAAGCAGCCGCCGACACCAGCAGCAGAGCAAAAGTAGGGGGAGCCACAGTAGCAACAACGTCCCCAGAACAATTTTCTGCAATCTCGGAGGCCATGATTCTGATTGCTTGGTTTAACTGAGCCCCGCTAAACGGCGCCACCTATCCAGCCAAAGGCACTGGGTTCAGGCTAGTTGGTACTGATTCACAACATTTGTAACCCATAAAAGCACGTACGTAAGAAATCTTACGTACGTGCCTTTAGCACTTGCAAAAGTTATGAATCAGCCAGAAATGGAATTTTTTGTACGACTTGCGTCTATCCCCATAGTAATGCCAGACGGTAGTGCCCTTTTAGACATTGTAATACGTCCTAATTATAGGCACTGAAGAACAGCATTATGCTTAGAACGTGAGACAGTACACACCGCCGTGCAACCAGCAAACAGAAATTTACTAAAGCAGCACCAACGCAAAATCTTATTGTGGCATTTTTTTTGCTGCACTATGTTGCCATAAGCCTGTGAGTCTTAACACAGCACATTTCTAGCGGCAGTGTATCACAGATAATTAATTACATTCTGTTTATTAAAAACCAGTTTCAGTTTCGGGTTCGAAGAGCTACGCGAATGACAAGCAGCCGTGTTCAGCTAACGACATCTAGTAAGTGAAACGGCACACAGAACTAAAACTAACTTTCGCACTGCCACGTGGTCTTGTGCATGTGGAAGGTTTAGGGTCCCCTTCGAGCCACTTTGCGTGCCACAAGATGCAGCATATAGCGCTAGACCAGGCACGCAAGCTTCAAAATTAATACAGATGACCTCCCAAGCTGTATTCACTGCTGAGGTTTGGTAAACAATACGCAGATATTCCCGAGAATCGATCCCACAGGCTATATAAGCTATGAAATAATGTGTCACCTCCCCCCTTTAGCAACTTTTACATAACGGCAAGTTCCCCAGTCGATTTAAACAAATATGTAAGTGGTAGCATACGAGATCAGCCAATACATTGCCAATACAACACACAGAAAACATTACAAACAAAAGATGGCACAATCCATACAATGTACCGCAAATGAATTGTCACTGATGTTCAACACAGTGTGAGGACCCACAAAATCAAGCCCTGGCACGGCACCGATACAAAGAACCTCCCAGGAGCCAACCATTGCCAAGCCATCGAAGAGCAAAACAACTCTACCACATGCGCCCAAATGACCTCACTCAACCAAGCGGCACTGCTGGCACCACCACGCTAAGGCAGCACGTGAGCACATCGTCCCCTTTGACATGGCAGCACTTACGCTAACTACCGTATTTGCGTGCATAATAAGCGTACTCGTTTTCAAAAAAATCCAGCTCCAAGTTCCTGGTGCACCTATTACACTCGGCAAAATTTCCTAAAATTATATTTCCGACTACAGCATAGACCGCTAATAACACATACCGTAATTACTCAAATCTAACGCACACCTTTTTTACGGTTAAGCGAGTTCATAAATCGCATGCACGTTAGAATCGAGTACGAAAAAAAAATGAATACGATCATTCTATTGCCATCGGCAATTCCAAAATGGCCGTCCCCTACAAGCGTCGGCCATTTCTGCCTAAGTGTTTCCCATATGCAGCACTTCGTACGTGTGCTGAGGAGTTCGTCATCTTGTAGTGCATTAGCATCGACGGCATGGAAGGGCCGACTCCAAAAACTCGCTTTTAAAAGAATCGTCATCGCGTGTGCAGAAACGGACGGAAATCGGGCCGCATCGCGGTCGTTCGGAGTTCCCGAAACGTGCGTGCGGAACTGGCGGAAACAAAAGCAGAAGATTGTCGACAGCAAAGCTTCACGCAAAGGCTTCAGTGGACCACAGCAGGGTGGGTTTCCGCAAATTGAAGAACTGCTCGGCGAGTATGTGCTTAAGCAGCGAGCGGCACAGTGGCCCGTGACGACAGAACTGCTCCAAGTGCAGGCTATGCAATTAGCCTTAGAAAAAGGTTTAACGCGGAGCCAGTTTAAAGCGAGCAGGTGCCGGCTAACTAAGTTTATTGAAGAGGAAAGGCTTTTCTCTCCAAAGGTGAACGGGCACACGCGAAAAGTTTTGCGGAGGAGTACGATGAAAAGCTTCACAGTTTTCAGAGGTTCGTCCTAAACTTGCGGCACAACAACGGCTACCTTCTTGGGCAAATCGGGAATGCCGATCAGACGCCTCTTTACTTCGACATGCCTGGCACCACAACTGTCGAGAAGAAGGGGGTGAAGGAAGTTCGCGCGCTGACATCGGTCCACGGTAAAACTACAGTGATGGCAATGCTCTGTTACACGTCAGATGGGCACAAGCTTCCCCCGTACCTCATATTTAAATGGAAGACGCTCCTGAAAGGAGTTGTTTTTTCGAGTGGTGTGATTGTGCGGGCCAGCGAGAAAAATGGGTGCACGTTGCAATTGATGCCTTACCTTTTTTTTTTTTTCGTCATGGAAATCGGGTGCACGTTACAATCAAGGGCGCGGTAGAATCGAGTAAATACGGTACGCCACCGTAATCACGAAGATTCACACTACAGCAAAAAAAAACCTTATATTTGCACAAAACGTGTTGAGCATGCAGTCTTGTGTGTCCGAGAATCAAAACAAGCTTTGCAGGGTGCATTCAAATATCTAAAAATTAATGTAGACTCGTGTTGCGAACAAAACGATCGTGAAAAGGAAAAAGTAAGAAAAGGAAGCACTATTGCAAAAACTTGCCGATTACGTTTTAGGCCACAGATTATGTGGATTATCACGACAGAAATTAGATGCGCTGAACAGTACCGGTAGTCAGATTTTATGGGCGAATCCTGTATCCAAGATGCAATCGAATCGCGAACCACCTTTCGAGTGTTACAAGTGCCACCCAAGCCCCCTTTACTTCAAGTAGAGCCACCGAAAAGAGTTAAGTTGATTCCGTACAAAACTACAACTCAGATAGGCCGGGACAGCCGCAGAAAAGCACCAACGATGATTAGGCCTAGCCTATGGTTCGGCATGATGTCGTGGGAAGCTTGTCGTGGCATGTTGTCACAACATGAAGACTGGGCATCAAAAAAATCGCACTCAAGCACTGGCACGGCACCGATACAAAGAACCTCCCAGGAGCCAACCATGCCAAGCCATCGAAGAGCAAAACAACTCTACCACATGCGCCCAAATGACCTCACTCAACCAAAGCGGCACTGCTGGCACCACCACGCTAAGGCAGCACGTGAGCACATCGTCCCCTTTGACATGGCAGCACTTACGCTAACTACCGTATTTGCGTGCATAATAAGCGTACTCGTTTTCAAAAAAATCCAGCTCCAAGTTCCTGGTGCACCTATTACACTCGGCAAAATTTCCTAAAATTATATTTCCGACCTACAGCATTAGACTCGCGCATCAACAATACCGTAATTACTCAAATCCTAACGCACACCTTTTTTACGGCTTAAGCGAGTTCATAAATCGCATGCCCGTTAGAATCGAGTACGACAAACAAAACTGAATTACGATCATTCTCTTGCCATCGGCAATTCCCAAATGGCCGTCCCCTACAAGCGTCGGCCATTTCTGCCTAAGTGTTTCCCATATGCGCACTTCGTACTGTTGCTGAGGAGTTCGTCATCTTGTAGTGCATTAGCATCGACGGCATGGAAGGGGCCGACTCCAAAAACTCGCTTTTAAAAGAATCGTCATCGCGTGTGCAGAAACGGACGGAAATCGGGCCGCATCGCGGTCGTTCGGAGTTCCGAAACGTGCGTGCGGAACTGGCGGAAACAAAAGCAGAAGATTGTCGACAGCAAAGCTTCACGCAAAGGCTTCAGTGGACCACAGCAGGGTGGGTTTCCGCAAATTGAAGAACTGCTCGGCGAGTATGTGCTTAAGCAGCGAGCGGCACAGTGGCCCGTGACGACAGAACTGCTCCAAGTGCAGGCTATGCAATTAGCCTTAGAAAAAGGTTTAACGCGGAGCCAGTTTAAAGCGAGCAGGTGCCGGCTAACTAAGTTTATGAAGAGGAAAGGCTTTTCTCTCCAAAGGTGAACGGGCACACGCGAAAAGTTTTGCGGAGGAGTACGATGAAAAGCTTCACAGTTTTCAGAGGTTCGTCCTAAACTTGCGGCACAACAACGGCTACCTTCTTGGGCAAATCGGGAATGCCGATCAGACGCCTCTTTACTTCGACATGCCTGGCACCACAACTGTCGAGAAGAAGGGGGTGAAGGAAGTTCGCGCGCTGACATCGGTCCACGGTAAAACTACAGTGATGGCAATGCTCTGTTACACGTCAGATGGGCACAAGCTTCCCCCGTACCTCATATTTAAATGGAAGCGCTCCTGAAAGGAGTTGTTTTTTCGAGTGGTGTGATGTGCGGGCCAGCGAGAAAATGGGTGCACGTTGCAATTGATGCCTTACCTTTTTTTTTTTTCGTCATGGAAATCGGGTGCACGTTACAATCAAGGGCGCGGTAGAATCGAGTAAATACGGTACGCCACCGTAATCACGAAGATTCACACTACAGCAAAAAAAAAACCTTATATTTGCACAAAACGTGTTGAGCATGCAGTCTTGTGTGTCCCGAGAATCAAAACAAGCTTTGCAGGGTGCATTCAAATATCTAAAAATTAATGTAGACTCGTGTTGCGAACAAAACGATCGTGAAAAGGAAAAAGTAAGAAAAGGAAGCACTATTGCAAAAACTTGCCGATTACGTTTTAGGCCACAGATTATGTGGATTATCACGACAGAAATTAGATGCGCTGAACAGTACCGGTAGTCAGATTTTATGGGCGAATCCTGTATCCAAGATGCAATCGAATCGCGAACCACCTTTCGAGTGTTACAAGTGCCACCCAAGCCCCCTTTACTTCAAGTAGAGCCACCGAAAAGAGTTAAGTTGATTCCGTACAAAACTACAACTCAGATAGGCCGGGACAGCCGCAGAAAAGCACCAACGATGATTAGGCCTAGCCTATGGTTCGGCATGATGTCGTGGGAAGCTTGTCGTGGCATGTTGTCACAACATGAAGACTGGGCATCAAAAAAATCGCACTCAAGCACTGATCCAGGAGTAGCGTGCGTGATACTATGTTAAGATTCCCGGCCGGGAATCAGCGCCTACAAAAGTCCACAAAGCTTGTATAAGTCCGCATAGTGATAGAAAAGGTGAACGCACGTGTCAGAAAACCCAACAGCTTTCAAATTTGCAGACTAGGTAGCAAACACGATAAAGACAACGCTTTTCTCCACAGGAAACTCAATGCGCACTTGAGGACGCGAACATGCAAGGCACCGTCCAGGTAGCGGCTGGAGCCACGCCGGTGCAAAGGTTACTCGACACCCAGACAGCCGTCCCTCACTTGGCAAACTTGCGGAGCTGGCGCATTGTTGCCAAAGCCTTTTTTCCCCACTTCTGTTAACATAAGAGAGCGTCGAATTGCAACCGTGCGAATACGGTACAGAACTACTCACCACGGCCAATTTTGGGGTGCGCCTATCATGCCCATAAATGCCCCGCCGCGGTGGTCTAGTGGCTAAGGTACTCGGCTACTGACCCACAGGTTGCAGGTTCGAATCTCGGCTGCGGCAGCTGCATTTCCGATGGAGGCGGAAATGTTGTAGGCCCGTGTGCTCAAATTTGGGTGCACGTTAAAGAACCCCAGGTGGTCGAAATTTCCGGAGCCCTCCATTATGGCGTCTCTCATTATCATATGGTAGATTTGGGACGTTAAGCCCCACATATCAATCATCATGCACAGAAATAAAATAAAATCAAATTTCTTCCAAACAAACTAGGGGTATGCCTATTATGCTAGTAAATACGGTACTACCAATCCCCAGGACATGAGCGCAGCATGAAGCAACATCAACATGACGTGGGGTGACAGCACCCCCCCATAATCTATACAATACCAACAGCTAATACAATCTAGAATACATTTAAAAGGTCTTCTTAAGTGTGTGCCACACAACTGCTCATCAAACAGACCACCTCGTGACATCTACGCCAACTAGGTTCCTATGTGGTGAACAACAAAACGACCACCGACACCCGAGTATTAGCCATCCTCCTTGTGTATATTTGCTCCCACGTCATCAACACGATGCTCACGTAAGAAGCTGTGTTTATACGAAAACCCAGCTTAGTTTTTTTTCTTTTTTTGAGTTTCCTCTGAAACAAACAATTAAGAGTTGGTATAAGGACATCTCCAAATAATCAGCCCCTGTGCTAAAGCAAGCAAAGTTTATAGCCGTGATAACAGGGTCACCAGCTATTATTAACACAAACAACCATGCAAAATATTTCTGTGAGTGCTCCTCTACATCAGGTACAAGCACTCACCTGGCGGTGTGCTTCAGCTGCCTGCCTTATCTCCCTGTACTGATCTTGCGACATGGACTCCAAGGCTTTCTTCTCCGGATCAGTCATGCGGTTCTTTCCTGTACGGCTGCACGAGTGAAAGTTCATCTCAATCACACAGAACTCGTACCTCGTTGTTGATACACAGCAAAGTGGATTGACATTTGCCAGGACTATATGACCAAAAGTTTTTGGAGGTTAACATCAACTGATACTTGTGAGACTAGAGGATGAGAATGAAGGTGCTTATCGTATGCATTCCTAGACAATCAAAAAAAAAAACCTGGAGTGTATATCAATCATATCAATACCTGTCATTTGGAATGGGATGTTCCACTTCCTCCCCAACCGGAAAATTGCCATCAGGGAACAGATCACAGATGGGAATCGACGGTGGATCAGTTTGCTGTTTTGGACCTGTTAGTTGTGAGAGAAAATCAAGTTAACCAATTCCATTCGCTGCACCAAGAAGTCCACACTGCACTTTTCAAAGCCAATTTACTTGGCTGTCTTGAATGTTCGCACATCTTTGCTGCATGAGGCAGTTAGCATTTTTTTTATTGTCCATGGCTGTGATCAAAACTTTCAGTGGCTCTGTTGACTTTTTCATATCTGGATGCAATCATAAATGCTGCAAACTATGCTAGTTTCATACCGTAGCACTGCAACATTTCTTCATCAAGTCTGATTTTGAAGTAGGTGCAACCTTAGACTTGTTCTCTTTTAAATGCAAATAAATGCCACTGTAGAGAGGAAGAAGAATATGTGCCGCAGTGAATCACGCCTTTAGCAGGAGGAGCCAAGCGCGAGCATTTGCCCCGATTGCTGTGATTCCTGAGTCCGTTGCTGCCGCTCGCTTTCCGCATCAATAGACCTACTGTGCAAGTGCTACTTGTGCCAATAAACCCCGTTTCACCACCAATGTATTGAGGCACTGAATGCTGAACCAGCACACTTTTCATCAATGAACCTCTAAGCCTTTTCAGCACCCTTCGAGTGAATCGCAAGCAGGATGACAACAGGTACATGAACATTAATATTATTTGTGATGCAATCAGACTCAACTGTAAGTGTAAACTGTGCAGTGCAAGTATTGAGCTAACCGTGAATTGCGTCACACAGTCTTTGCTGTCTTCGTTAAGGCTTCACTCTTGCACAGTGCATGGGTTGTAGTTCTTTCGTTTAGTGATGGCACTAGTCACACAAGCCGAAATTCTGAAATAAGGATTTAAGGGTGGCCAAAATAAAATCGAATCGCTGAAAAAAGTTGACTGCAAACAATACACTGCGGGTGGAGGTTCGCAACAGCTCAGAAAGAAAGCAAAGGCAATCAAGACAAGATGTTCCACTGCAAAAAAATTGAAAAAAATAGTAGAGTGGTGTTCGTGGAAAACCATGTTTGCTGTTCAGCTGTTTTGTAACATGAACTATTTTCTCAAAACAACAGTTTTTCATTACTTAGGCACCATTATTTGTGATTTATTTCAAGATACCCAGCTGATTATCTTTTCATGTATTCTGTATAAATATATACAGCTACTTGAAGCAGAATTTAGGCTATGCACTTTACTGTTGGAATGGAATGAAAAAACTTTATTTCACTTTACAGTTCTGTGTTACAAATTTTCAAGGATGCATATTGACTTAAAATTTAGGTTCTAATCGTTGAAAATTGACCATAATTCTAATATTAGTCCAATCTCAATAAACATAGCTTCAGGTAAAGGGTCAGTAAACAACTAAGACGTCAAAAAACAGTTATAAAAAATATGTGCACTTTTAATTTGTGAACATGTTGCCGCAAGTACATTACAAATACATGCTACATTAAGGAAGTTACAGGGGTTAGAACATTGGTTTCAGCTGGTTTAAAATTTTCGCATGATCTCACCACCCTTCTCTCTCCCATGGAGGGGAAGGTGTAGCATGTCGTCGTGACTGGTTTAAACTAATTGATGAGCTGCGTGTTACGTCAAGTCGTCGATCAGCGCTGCGATATTCGAAAAACGTAATTGCCGCGATGTACTCTTGAAATTGTCGAGCTTCTTTGGGGGGTGTAAAAAAAAGTCAACGCCTGTTGGCTGGTCGTTTAAAGTAGTGTTGCATAGCCGCTTTAACCATGGCACTTTGATATCTGTGTTCAGAAGAATTCTGAGCCGTGCTACCATGTATGCTTCAAAGCAAAGTTATAAGGGTGCCATTGTAACTACCTTTAGGTTTCTTTTTTTTCTTCTTCTTTGCTTCCTCACCATCACCTAAAACAAAATGTATGCAATAAAGGTTATTTTAGACGATAAGGTCTTTATATGTAACACTTCAAGAACACACTGAACTAGCTATCTCAGAATATGCTGAATAAAATAACAAGAAAACTATGATAACATTCCACATTTCTCTGCATCTTTTTTTTTTTCGTGCACATTTAGGAGACGTGGGAACTGCAGACACATCGACTACAACTACAAAAAACATAAATGCTTTTCTTCGAAGCCGGCTTGTAAACAATATATCAAAAGCCTAATCCATCAAACGTCACAAAAATTGCAAAATTATTCACTTAAAGAAAAGCACGGACGGATGGGTTTTTATTTGCCTGAGCAATACATCATACGTTTCCTACCATTTGCTAAGTTTACTCGCACGGCGCATAACAACAGCCAGCAGCTTGCAAACAAATGGGCTCCAAAGAGCGAAAAGGATAGAATTACCTTTTTCCTCGGTCTTGTCACCTGTACCATCGATGTGCTGGTTTTCGAGCCCGGCTGTTACTTCTGAAACTTGCGTTGACCCTGGCTCTAGTCCGTTGGCTTCTTGAGGACCTAAAGGCGAGTACGGACCAGGTGACAAACAATACAAACCCAGGCCAAACGTGCACGGCGCAAGCCTATCTCCGCTTCGACACGAAGTGTACGCCACACTCAACGACAGCTGCCTGTGTCAGCAAGAAGAAAAGAGAATCCGCCTGCATTTCAGGGGTCTCCCTTTAGGTCGTATTTTTAGCCGTCGCGGGCCCCCAAACACACACGGGTATGACTCAAGCAAACTGGGCGCTGGCGAATTATCTGATTAACATGCTTTCTGTTAAATTTAAGTAGGCCGCAGGTGTAGAATTCAAGCGTTTATTAAGATGTGCCCTTGCACGTTAAGGAAAAAAATAAGGCAGCGGCAAGTAACAACACAACCAAGCCATGTGGGACGGCCGCAATACGGGGTTGGCGGTCTTCGTTACTCTCACCTTTCTTTTTCTTCTTCTTTCGTTTCTTTTTCTTCTTAGCGGCGTCCTGAGGTCCGACGTCGTCCTCGGCGTCGTCCTCCTCATCGCCGTCTTCTATAATTTCCTCCTTTTCGTCCACATGTTTGCTACCGTGATCTTGCACTACAGCCGCCATGCTTGTTTTAGTGCGTTGGCTCTACACGGCATGGCGCCTCAGTCGGCGCGAGACGCGAAACAAAGGAATCTTCGATTTGGCTTGCACTAGTTCAGAAAAGTGCAGGTGCAGAAAAAGCGGTGCCAAGCGGTGCAGTGAGCGTGCAGCGCCGGTCGAGCAAGTGCAGGTGCAGCCTCAACCACGCCTCGGCACTAGCCGACACTAGCGCGCGACGGCTACAGCCAAAACGAAGGCGTGAGTTGACGTGAGTGCAGGCCGGAGAACACCTTGTAGTGTAAGCCTAAAATAGCCGCCTCCGCCGCCTTGTCCGATCAATACACGGCCGTGATGGCACTTCTTGTGACTGCGATGGAATTGCTGGACTCGAGCAGCGACGACGATTCCGTCAGCGGTGCCGTTTGCAGTGACTGCGACGATGAGTACGACGATGCGTGCATCTTGGTCGCGTGCGCGTTGGTGCGCGACGATGCCAACCGTGTACCCGGGTACGAAAGCATTATCGGCAGGTACCATGAGTATGAATTCAAGCGCCTCTTCAGGCTGTCCAGGGAGACTTTTGATAGTTTCAGGGCCAAGTTCAAGACTTCAGCCTTCTACCCAAGGGCAGTGCAAGGCCGCCAACAAATCAGTGCCGAAAAAACATGCCTCATAGCGCTTGTGTACCTAGGCTCACAAATATCTATGTACGCCATAGGCGACAAATTCGATGTTACCGAGTCGTCTGTTCATGTTTGTGTGACACGGGTCGTTCACTTCTTACACGCTATTAGCGATGAGATAATTTGCTGGCCTAGTAGCGCGGAAGTGACCCGCATAAAGAACGGCTTCCTCGCCAAAAGTAAAGGCAAGGGCCCAAGAAACACCATCGGCTGTATCGATGGATCACACATCGGGATACTCACTCCAAGCGAATCTACGCAGTCTTACTTCAACCGGAAAAAGTGGCCTTCGATAATCCTGCAAGGAATCTGCGACGACAGGAACAAGTTGCTGAACGTGTTTATTGGGTTTCCAGGTTCGGTTCACGACGCCCGTGTCCTGAGGGAGAGCCCCTTCTTTGCACGCGCAATTCAGGAATGTGAAGACAATTATATACTGGGTGACAGTGCATATCCACTGATGCCATGGCTCATGACCCCATTCAAGGACAATGGAAGTTCTTTTCCTACGTGGAAAAAGAGCTTCAATAAACGACACAGTCAACAACGAGTGCTTATTGAGAACACCTTCGGCCTGCTTAAACAGCGTTTTAGGAGGCTCTACCTTGTTGATGCAAAAAGTGTGCAACAGTGCTGCTATATAGTTATGGCTGCGTGTGTGCTACACAACATGTGCAACGATGAAAGGGACTTCCTTGAGGAACTTGCAACGCTTCCCCAAGAAGAAGATGTGGGCAATGATGAAAGTGAAGGAGATTTTGATTGCAGTCTGCCAGGCTACAGTCAGTCTCTGCGAGAGTTCATTGCAAAGGAACAGTGCTAGAAGTTCATCTTTGCTTCGCGATTTATTCAGTGTGCAAATGTTTTGCGAAGTGGGGTGCCGCGTCTAGAAGCAATGTTTTTTTTAACAAATTAGATGGAGTAGACACTGCTAGTGTTATAAAAGTTTATTGCCCATATTATAACCCGTCCTTATTTGAGAGTACGTCGATCAACCGATCGAATCGCTGCATGCGCTCATCATGCCGCTTTGCCTTTGCCTCTTCCCATTTTTTTCTTTCCTCCAGTTGTTTCACTGCTGCCTCCTCTTGCTTAGCTCTCGAAGCTTGCATTTTTTCTAATGCCTCCAAGAGCGGCGTGACTTGGGACCTACTCTGGCGCTTCCTTTTTGGCGTTGTGCTGCTCCGAACTTTGGATGCTGTGTTGCACTCGACTGGGACTGCTGCATCTTGAGGTGCTTCAGTGATGCTGGTGCTGTTGAAAGTAATTGTACAGGTGCCATGTCATTTCCAGGCTACAGCACAAATTAAGTAATTTTTACTTACTCTGGACTTGCACTAGGCAGGATTGTTTTTCCAGGCTCCAAGAGCAGCCTTGGATTTACACTATGTTCTTTTTCCAAGACTTCTGCCAGCTCTCTGTAATAGACACTATGAGAATCACTGAAGATATGAAGACACAATCGTAACTTACTCTTCATATTCACAGTTCACACGGTGGTGACCTGAAGAATTGTTGTCTTTTTTTGACTTTTTATATGCTCTGTCCAGCGACTTCCATTTGTTTTCCACTTGTGTGGCAGTCACGTTGCACAAGAACTCCGTATTGATGGCCTCAGCCAACTTCTTCCACAGAAGCCTTCTTGTGCTAAACAAAAAAGCAAAGCACAGTTAGTAGGAAAGAAGGAAGCGACGTAACGTGACCCAAGTCTTGCAGTAGCACATGAACCTTTCCTTAGTACTTCATATGTGTAGCTTTCAGGGATAATTGCTAGGGATGTTCGATTATTCGAAAATTTTGGATAATGAATCAAACAGCACTGTATTCGGTTCCTAAGTCGAATCGAATTGCACATATTCTAAGTAACAAATATTCTTTTAATAATCGGCACTGGCGGGAGAACCCCAAAACAACGAAACAGCTACAAGTCATTCTTTCAATCCCTAATGTGACCTGTACGCAGCCCAAGCTTTTGCAAGACTACCTACACTATATTGATTGTCGAATGAATGCGCTTCTGAAAGCTCCATTCTTGCTCAATTTTTACTGCACTTTAGCTGTATCGCATTTATCAGCTCCTGTCTTCGTCTTGTAATAACCAAAGGTGGGAACTACGAGTGCTTGCAGCTTCACGACTAGCAACAGATACAAGTTTTGCGTTTGCGTAAATTGTTCTTGCAGATGTAAATTTCAACGCCCATTGTTATCCGCTTTTAGTGCGCAGGCCATGTTGTGATGACGGGTTGATCTGCTCCGTTACATATTTAGTTGTATCTGCAATGTTTGGTTGTAAATTGTTTTGTTTTTGTGTCCCAATTTTATTTAAAGTGAGGTGACAAAGTCTCACGTTGATAACGCTAGTCAATGCCGTAGTTGAACCTACAATTACAAAATGTTACGAATATTCTAGTTCCTGCTGCATACGAGATTACCTTAGTTTTCGTAATTGTGGTATTTTGAGTAGATTCAAACTGACTGTAATGGCCTTTGTCGAAAGTTTGTGACTATTTGTTTCAAATAAAATGTTCTGTTCTAAGGCTGTTTTGAAAATGGTCTACTTACTATTCAAACAGTATTCAATTACTATTTGTATTCTATTTGGTGCCATTACTATTTGACTCTTACTTGATTAGGTTCCGAAATTCACTATTCACACACTTCTGATAACTGCGAACGTTCTTTTTGTGCGGGAAGCATTATGTTGGAGAAGTTGAACATTGTGTAAATCACTCTTTTGGATCATAAAGCTTCACTAAGGAGACAGCCATATTCTAACCTGTCTTTGCATTGTAAAACATGCAGCTGCGCAACCTTGTTTGCTGACACGACGGCGCAGTCTAGGTTCAAAGATAGGGTAGCACGTGTCAAGAAGCATATCTCTTTTAACAATGAGCTGCACCATCTTGAAAAGTGGCAGTGCGAGAGAAATGCGGACAGACAGTGAAGACACAAGGACTGCAGGGCGAGACTTGCTAGAGATGTGCCTCAGAATAACAACATGCAATTCCCTCTAGTGCAAATTCTCAAGGCAGCACTACACTTGCAACATGGCTTGAGCTTGGAGGTGCTGCACCTTTTCGGCAAGACAGCGGTTGTGCAATGCCCAACACAAAAGCACCGTCGCTGTTTTTGAAGATCACTTGACTTAATGAAACATTACGAATGCCTTCGTTGTGTATATATGTGCGTGACTATACATACTGTTTGTGTGTATATGTAAACGTATATGTCACAGTCAGGCGCATAGCCAAAATTTTCTTTTCAGTGGGGGGGGGCAGTAAAATGTAAATTGCTGGCAGTAAAATGTAGGCAACAATAACCATCGCCATTGTGAACTTCATGCGCCCTTATCTTGTTGGTGCTTGCCTAGAGTGAAACGGAATAATAAAAAGCTGCAAATAATTTTGGACATAGGATGACATACCGAAGTGCCCTGGTTTTTCCCACCAAGTCCTTCATTTCCGAGTATTTGGCGATGAAGAACCTTGTTTTTCGGGCGCTCCAAAGCTCTTCCACATCTTCAGCCGACGCGGCTGCTGCTGGAAATGCGGCTAAAGCCCCATCGCTGTCAACGTCGCCGTCGCAGGCAGGAGAAGGCGTCGGCGGTTGTGCCGGAGGGGGGTCATTTTCACGATTCCCTGCCATGAACCGCAACGTAACGCGCTTGCCGTCTGCAAGGGCGAAAACCAAGATTAAAAATACCGACATAGCATAAGCAATGCTACGAGGCTGTTTGCTGACCGACTACGACTCCTGGCCGCTAACCACGTTTTTTGGCAATGCATGCAGCCTGACTTACCTGATGCCTCATAGACGTAACCGTTGGCGTCCGTCATAAATGACCCGTCGGGATTGTGAAGTGCCTTAACTTCCTTTTGAACGCCCTGAACAACTATTTGCAACGTCGTCTGCTCTGGCCTTGGGGGGACGCCCGCCATGCTGCACTACTCTGCACCTGCTTTGGAGTGCGTGCACGCCGGTACAGAACTCGTCAGGAACTAGGCTTACACCTAGACAAAACGAGGGAGCCAGTGCAGAGGGTGCGACAGAGGGCGCGCGCTGCTCCGGCAAAACGAGGACGAAGGTGCTGCACCCTTTGAACTGGTTCAGCCGGTGCAGCCAAAACGAAGAGACCAAAGAACTGAATGCCCCATTATGCCACAACTATGAGCTAAAGCGGCAGTAGACGCGATTGTGGGGCTTTAGGTTCAAGAAAACTGATTTACTTTATTGAAAAAAAAATTGAACAATAGCTCATAACGGCTAAACTTATAAAGTGTGCTAGTTTAGTGAAAAGGAAAATTTGTTGTCAGAATAATAGCAACTGGTCACTAGAAAAAATATTCCGCACATGTTGATTTGGTTAGGAGATT